AACTCTCGATGTCAGGGTATACTGCATTTATTAAAACTTTTAACTATGGACTCGCAAATGAGAGCAAAGGAGTTTCTACGGTCTTTTAATGTTCTGTCTACTGCCTTTAAATGTGCTTTATGGGTCATAGTGCATTTATTCCAAATAATCAATGAATCGTCTTGTAATATTTATCCAAAACGCCCATTTTTGTGGATAGAACATATTGATTATTGGTTAAGATTTTTGCATGTCGACGCCCCCGTCAACTTCCTATGCAACAAAATTTTGCATTTTGCAGATATACAATTGCATTTCAGACAAATCCCTTTTCTATCAATAGTATAATGGGTATAAGAATAATGGGTTGAATCGAGCCAATACTTCTCTTAGCCCCCATATATATATATATAGACTTAATCTAAAGATTTTCGAACTTCGGCCGACTCTGTACTACATTTATTAGCCAATATGTGAGTTATCCCAATGAAAATTATAGGGCGTATTTTACTCATAATATTGTATCTTTGTGCCTAAGTAAAATAGATAAATTTCAGCAAAAACTTGGCCCAGTCCCTATATAGCTAATATCAGAATTTTTGAACATTCGGCAGACATTACTCCATATTGTTGGTTTTTAGTATGGGCATGTTAATAGTATATGGTATTGGGAAAAATAGATAAAATCTGGCCGATACTACCCCACTCACTTTTCTAACCAACCTTATGTTTAAGACTTATACGTATATATTATATGTATACTTAAATTGCCTTAAAGTATTTTCGTGGCCTTGACTCCTGCAAGTGGCAAGAGCATAAAATATTCGATTGCATCCGAACTTAGCCCTTCCTAACTTGTTTTTAATGCCATTAGATACTACACCCCAAAATATTAATTAGCGATAGATTTTTAAACTCAACGTATTGCCAGCACATCTCATTAGTAGAAATTGTAAATAAAGACAAAGAATGTTTTTTATTTTCTTTTCTTACCATCTCATTAATAAGTCAAATGTATTGCATATGATCAAACCTGTTTTCCCCTCAACAGCTGTCGTACCGCGTTAATAATTAACAAAAACCGTGGCGAAGATGCAAAAAAATATTGGTTAATTATATTGTTGCTAATTTTATAAAAATACTTTGTAGGCTCGTTCTGCTTATGTACACATTAGGGTGATTCAAAAATAAAATTACTTTTTTTTCGTTTGGTACTCTGAAAAATAGGTCCCTAGATACCTGTAAGGAAGCCTTTCCAAAAATGATTTCTTAATTGTAACGGGAAGGTCCTCCTACTAACAATTTTCCATTTTTTCTTATTATCATATAGAAAAATTTTTATCTCGCTTTCAACTACTTGAAAAAATATCTTGTTAGAGTTAGTCTTAGATTTTCTAGGAAATTGAATGCTCTACAAACCCAAACTCCACAAAAACCCAACCGTTTAACGGTTAACCATTAACGGTTGAAGTTTGATTACTTTTGGGAAAATTTTTATTTCTATGAGTTTTATAACTCAATGAGAAAATCTTTATGAATGATGAAACTCATAGGTTTGTGGAAAGGCTTTCTGAGAGATGCCTAGAACCTATTTATCAGAGTACCAAACGAAAAAAAAACACAATTTTTTTTTTATTCACCCTAATATGCATTGATGTTTGACGATGAATATCTCAGAAAGGCTTAACTTAATCACAAAATCATAGCAGACCATTTTTATAGAGCAGTAAATTTCCTACAGAATCTAAGGAACAAGATATTTTTTCAAGTAGTTGGAAGCGAGATATAAATTTTTCTATATGATAATAAGAAAAAATGGAAAATTGTAAGTTGGAGGACCTTTCCGTTACAACTAAGAACTCATTCTTGGAGAGGCTTCCTTGGAGTTGCCTAGGAACATATTTTTCAGAATGCCAAAGGAAAAAAAAATATTTTTTTTAATCACCCTATGACACATACATGTACATATTTTATTAATAGGTATGGCAGTGTCAATCTTGGGTAAGCCGAACATTACATTCTCACGCTTTAAGCGAAGAATTGAAGGTGTGTTAAAAATTGCCATGTGTCCGTTATATATTTTATAAACAAACAGTAAATTTGAAAATAAAGTGTCAGTGACTGATGCTGTTTTATTTGTTTTACACTACTTGGCCAACAGAAATCATGGTAATGACAGATTTGACTTCTCATTTAAATTATTATTCTTTTTTCATTATCTTATTCGTTATTTTCATTCAACTAGTATTTTTCTAACACCACTACTCTTCTTCTTTACTGGCGTAGACGTATACTATCTATAATAGCGCGAGTATCGTTGCCGTTCGACAACGGTACACCAAAATATACATTAGAAATGCTGAAATTAGAAAACCGAGCTTAAGCAGTTGTCTGCGCTATTTTGTAGTTTTTGGAAATCGAATACTTGAATAAATTTAAGGAAATTATGTTTTCCTTATTTTTCAATTATTTATGAACGTTTCTAACGGAATAAGTTATCCAAATTGAACTTAAAAATTTATTGCAAATCAAACTACTGGTTAATAGCCTTACACAATATTTTGTAAGATGATTTATCATAGAATATTGTATAATTGACCAGAAACCGGAAAACCAATGAGCCAATGTATTTGTTTATATGTTGCATTTTGTGCCAGAAAAAGGTTTGGAAATGAAATTTCTCATAAGAGCAATCGGTGTTACGCCTATTGTTCCACTTTTTATGATAAATGAGGATGTTGAATAATTTCATTCATACATTTTGTTCAGCCAGTATTGTTTAGATGGGTATGGCACTTTTAGTATTTTCGAGCGTAACCGTTGAAGAGTGTTTTTACCCGGTGAATCGGGTATGATGTGAAATGTTACAAAGTCCATTCGTTTAAGTGGACGAAATCGAAACATTGCCACTCCCACAAAACGCTATTGACCTATAAGGTGCCAGAACTAAACTTCCCAATAAGTTGCAATAATTCCATTTGTTATTCAATGGGGCTAATAGGTTCAATGTAGTCATCTCTAAAACCCCTTAAACTAAATTAATAACATTTTCTCAGCACAAATCATTTCCAAAGTTTCTTTAAGGAGCAACCAGTTTAACGTCTGTTATTCAATTCTTCATGATGTATGAGGATGCTGATTTATTTCTATAATATTATTATATCCGTCATCGCAATTCGCTGAGAGACATAATCCTGACGTATCAATATTTCGATGTGAAAATTGGCGAAATGAAACCACAACCATGTGTACTTACCACCAAGCCCCAATAAATGTACAGCCATAATACTTCGCAAAAATAGTGCCTGTAAGGTATGCCATTTCAGGTGTAAAATTTGTCAAAATCGAGCTATAACTGTTAAGTATCCCGTATAGGTCTAACTGTAAGTTTGGTATCCCGATAGTTGCCGATAGTTGTCTTTTTGCCGAAAATATCGGTGGATGCGTAAGTTCCTTTTTAGTGATATTCGGAGAGAAGCTTTTTCTCATAACTTTATTATGTACAAAATGGATAAAATCTTATAATTTTTCCCCATTTTTGGAACCGAAATGGACCGACGTTCTTAGCTTTCCAAGTGAAATCCCTAGGTTCCACCTCTTAACCTAACCTGACCTAAGCCGGTATTGACCAACGTTAACGTCTTAAAGTCAGTTTGAAAGTATAAAATCATTATACCACGTTAGGTTAGGCTAGGTTAAGAGGTCAATCCTAAGAGAGAATGCTTGATTCAAGTTAAATGTCTTCAATTGACGCGGTTTCCCCGGAGCCATCGTTTAAGTTTGCTGAATAGCCAAAAGGCATGCGGAGCTAAATCAGGAAAGAAAAATCAATGCAATATGCGTCGGTGCATTATTGTGGTGTAAAAAACAACAATATTCCTTGTAGACAATTTGTCCGGTCGGAAGGAATTCGGAGTGCACCACACCTCCATAATCGAAGAAAGTTGTCAACCTAACTGTAATTTTCGAACTGCTTTGAGGTGTTTTTTTTGGAGTTGCTTCTCCTTTATCACGATATTCGGTTGATTGATCGTCTATTTCCGGGTCGTGAGTATAGACCCAATACTGATCGCCAGTAATAATGCATTTCATAACATCGGGGTAGTCGGAAAGCATTGTTTCACGGACTTTTTTTCGAGTATAAAGAGTGATTTTGACCAATCATCACTCTCACTTTTATAATGCCCAAATAATCTTTAATAATTGTTGTCACTGCTCCTTGTTTTTGACGTGTGGATCATCAGCTGATGCTGATGGCCGGCCTACTCTCCCTCTTTGAATAATTTGTACCAATCAAGGACACTTGCTCGTGACAAACAAATAACACTGAGGCCTTTTCTAACATTCTGAATATTTCGGCACAAGAAATTTGATTCCGCACAAAAAATTGAATACAATTTCTTTGTGGAATATTTTCGTTCATTGTAAAAATCGCCGAATCCACATTATGTTCAGAATGTTCTTCAGAAGTATAAGCTTATGCTAAATACTAATGATTCTTTTGATGTAACATTTGAGACAGATACCACTGACGGCCATACCAATCTAGAAAAAAATATTTCAACCACCGGGTTTCACGGGAAACTTAGATTAAAAATTCTTACTATTTTTTGCCCATAGTAATATTTATAGGAACCAACTTCTATCAATGCATCTAAAGTTTTATTAAATTTATTGTTTGTTTGGACATCATTCAGATCATTATGATATACATATATTACGGATCTTGATAAGATTAAGTTTTTTCAAAAAACCGTTAAGTATACAAAACTACAAAACTAGTACCGTATACCCCTACTGAAGCCAAAGTCTTCAAATATATGTTTGTAAATCTAATATAAAAAATTTGAAATGTAAGCAAAACAAAAGTTGTTTTATAATATTTTTAACAACATACTGATAATTGAAAACGTAAACTAAAGTTGCCAAAAGGAAGTAAATAAACTGAAGTGCGAAAATTGAATGACACACCTTGGCTTTGGAGTTCCCATCTTCCCTTAGTATAAAAACGAGTGAGTTGCAATGGAGTAGCATCAATTGTCTATTGAAAGCGCTCACAAAGCTACAGCTACAGTATTCATTCCCAATACCAACAACAACAACATGAAGGTAAGTTTTTATATTTTACAAAGTTTTAAAATATGACCAGAATCTGTATTTACCTTATCCTTGCAGTACGCCGTTATATTTGCTCTCTTCCTTATGGTTGCCGTCGCACACTGCAGTTCCTATGGCAGTCATAATGATGAACACGGCCACCAGCATGACCATGATGACCATAAGTTAAACCAACATGATCAAAAGAAAGATCAACACAATGAACATCAAGACCAAAGCCAGCGTCATAGCGACGAACATGGTCATGTCGGTCAGCATGATGATCATAAAGACAGCCATCATAACAACCAACCTGGTCACCACTAGCTGGCAACGGCTTATTGTCTCTCCTTCTAATCTAAAGTTTTGAGTTGGCTTTGTACAACAATTTTTGGTGTTAACAAGAAAAGTAAATAAATTTTTAAATGTTATAAAACTTGTTACAACGTTTTAGTAATAACACAGGTCACCAAAAAACAAAAAGTTCCATTGAATTCTGTGCGCGGAATCTAATTTCTGGTGCCGAAATGTTCAGAATTTTGGAAAAGACCTTCGGAGAGAATTGCTTGCCGCGAGAAAGTGTTTTTGACGAAAGTGTTTTGGACGAACCACGTCCAGGACGGCCATTAACATTAACTGATGATCAACACGTCAATAAAATAAGGGAATTGTTGTTTGATAATCGACGATTAACAGTTAGAGATATTACTGGCATCGGTGGAATGTCGGAAGAAACAGTTAAAACCTTTTTGAAAGATTATTTGGAATGTGAATGTACAATTGGTTCTGAACTCACTAACCTTTTTCAAAAATCAGAATCGCGTTAACGTCTGTGAAACAATACTTTCTCGAAGTGTGGTATACTCCGAATTCGTTTCGACCTGCCAAACTGTTCACAGAGTATACTATTTGAACATTGTATGCCCGAGGCTTTTCGTAAAAAGAGACCGGAATTACCGGCCAACAACTCTTGGTTTTTGTATCACTAGAATGTAGTATCGCATACTTCATTGATTCTTCGCGAGTTTTTTGCAAAATTTTCAATCAATATCTTTAACTGCGTGTGGCTACTTTAGTAAACTCAAACCACCTTTCCCGGGGAAACTTTTTTCAATCATCATTCAAGACATTAAACGAGAATCGCTTTTGCAACTGTTTCGAGAATTGGGGAAATCGTCGGCACAGGTGTATCTGGGCCAAAGGAGACGATATTAAGGGGACGATATAGATTTGACACTAAATTAAAAATTTTCAAATATGAACGAAGTTTGACTATTTTTGGTCATAGCAGTATGTAGAAAAGGACGATCACATTTCAGCATTTTCGTATTTCTAATAAAACTTCAACTTATTTTTTTTTTTTTTTATGTATATTATGAACCAAATATATTATTTTGGTCGACCATTTTTTGCCATTTTTCCGCTAAAGACATTATTCCATCAGTGTAAAACTTTTTTGGTTTTTCGGTGAAAAACTGCAACAAGTAATTTTCACAGGCTTCTCTTGTAGCGATCTTCACTCCATTGAGGGAGTTCTGCATTGATAGAAACAAATTGTAGTCCGATAGTTTACGGTCAAGGTTATATGGTGATGCATCAAAACTCTCCAGGAAAGCTCTCCCGGTTTTTACCGAGTCATCAAAGATTTATGTGGTCTAACGTTGTCCTGATTGAAGACGAAGCGCTTTCTTTCGATCAGTTCGGGAAAAGTCGAAGTTACTGGAACAGTTTAAGGCCGGAGTGCGGGTTATCTTGGAAATCGGCTGACGAGCTTTTCACTGACATGATTACAAATTTCCCCATCATGGAGAATGCCTCTAAAGATGGGCAGGTTACATTTTATTTAGATAAACAATGCAAATTCTGCAATCAAGATTTAATAGAATTCGAGAGATATTACCAAGGCCAGTATAATGAAATGATGATGGGACACTAACATGTATTTGGGTGTTAATAAGAGAAATGGAATATGAGAGGTAAAGTAAATGGATGATCGGTATACATATATATATAGCAAGTAAAACAAAGTACTCTTAGGTCATTCCTTCAATCATAAAGATTTCTCTGTGGCTCATCTGAGAGTTGCTAACGAACGCTAACTGACCTTCGTTCACTTAGCTCGAGCGCATTATCAGCCACCTCAAGGCAACTCAACTTCACATCAATCGCACTCATTTTGGTATTAGGAACTTTAACTATTCTCAGTCGAAGTTTCATAGGAAATGACGATCTAGAAAATGAAGATTTGACAGATAATAAAACAGCTACAAATTTGTAACCGAAAAATCAAAGCAATTCATTTCAGTTATTGGTCATGAAGAGGTGAGGGTGATTCCAAGGGATCGGCGTGAGTCGTGTCAAGTTGTCGTGTTATTTTTGTTCAGAATTGTTTGGGATTTTATCAAGGAAAAATTTACGCCTGAACAACGTTTTTAAATCGTTCAACTTTATTACGAAAATTCGCGTTTTGTAAATAATGTTTTTTGAGCGGTTCGCTCAACTTATGGTCAACATAATCGGCCTACCTAATAGACCATGTCCAGCATGCGGTGAAGAACATGTATCAGCCATAGTTCAACGATTTACAAGACCGAGGTTACGCTGGCTTGGTCATGTCGTCCAAATTGATAAAAACACTCCAACTAGGAGAATATTCGGCGCAGTACGGAAGCAGAGGGAGACCCCTACATCGTTGAAGGGACCAGGTGTAGAATAACCTGGCTATACTGGGAATTTCTAATTCTAGCCAAATAGCGAAAAGGAAGAACAACTGACGCGCTGTGTAAAGTAGACTAAAACCGCGTAAGCGGTATTTACATTTGTAAAAAAGAACAAGCTGAGATTGTTCACGAAGATCATCGAGAGTTGATTCGGCGCCATTCACAGCAACACGGTGTGACGTATGGAACGACTTGGCGTACAAAATACAGCTTGTGCAAGAACTGAAACCGCTGCCCCTTACCAAACGACATGTCTTCCCTCTATGGGCTCTTGAAAAGTTCCAAGATGATCTGACTTTTCGGGAAAAGTTTTGTTCAGGGATGAGACCCATTTCTGGCTCAATGAGTATTTAAACAGCAAAATTGAAGCAATTCAAGAGCTGTCATTTAATACAGAAAAAATAATTTGGGTTAGTTTGTGAGCCGGTGGAATCGTCGGCTCATATTTTTTCGAAAATGCTGCCAGTGAGAACGTAACCGTCACCGACGACATTTAGTTTCACTTCCCACACCTCGCATCAATCAATGGATTTGTTGAGAGAAAATTTTGGCGAGCAGATAATTTCTCATTTGGTTGTTGTTAGAGTTTTTCAATTTTAAATAAATTAGATAAAGGAACGTTTCCACAAACTCTCCATTTTTTTCTACTTGTGGTTATAAATAGTTTAAATATTTTTAGCTTTGAGAAGCAACATTCAACATTTACGGTTGTTAAGGAGCGTTATGAACATGTTCAAGTAAACTAGCTTCCATAGTTTTCGGCGAACTAACAATCAATAATTGCGGAGCTCTAATTTTTTATTAAGAAAGTATCGCCTTATTCGAGATTGGTTTTAGCTCATACATTATTTAAATCTCCACTAAATCTGTGATGAAGGTGGTGGCAACAGGAAATGTTATGGTTCCCAGTATTTAATATAATACAATTCCGAAGTAAGTGAAGTTTCTACCCGGATTTGGAATATAATGGGAACGTATTAAGTGCAAAATGAGATCTATGCAATGAATCATCTTTTTATATGACATTCTTTTATTGCCTGGTCAAAACTAAATTTGGTGTAACGTTTGAGACCTTTTACTGAAATTTGCAAGTTAAAAAACAGTTAGCTTATAGTGCATCTAAATTTTTATTTGGTCATTCAACATTTCTCTCCATTCACATTTTCGAAGTAATCAGCGATTTACTTCTTCTTCAACAAAGTGGACACCAAAGGAGCGGAGTAGGTGACTGGAGCAACTGGAGCGACCGCAGCGACACGGGCAACTGGAGCGCTGTAGACAGCAGGAGCAGCAACATGAGAGTAAGTGGCCACTGCTGGGGCGGAGTAAGCGGCGTGTGAATAGGTAGCGACGGCAGGAGCAGCATAGGTGGAGTAAGCGGCATAGGGAGCGGCGGCATAGGGAGCGGCGGCATAGGTGGTAAAGGCGGGCGCAGCAGCGGCGGAGTAAGTCAAAGGAGCCACCAAACCGGGATTGGCCTGAGCGACGGCGAAGAGGAGTGCGAAACAGACGAGGAACTGCAGGGAAAAAAGAAAAGGAATTATAAATTGTTTACACTTCAAACTCAATTCGATTGAAATAAATTGGCTAACTGGTTGTAAGGTACACTTACTTTCATTTTGCTAGAGTTTGTTGTTAATTGGCTGCTGCGAGTTAACTGATGTCAATTGCGATTCTGCGCGCATAATTTATAGCAAAATTTCTCGCAATCAGAAAATCATAATTATGTGATACATATTTGTGTGTATGGATAAAGGTATTTATATCATATACAAGAATCCGCCGCCTACACTTTGTTATTCATATGCCTTTATTTAGTTCTAAGTACATTTTCTCATATGTTAGTCTGTATGTTCACAGCCGCAAGCATCCACAAAGACACGCAAATACGAGCTCATACAAACACACATGTACAAAGAGGTAATAATATGACAATAGGTATTAATGCTTGTCTTGCTGTTACTTTATATATGATTAGGCATGAACTTGATCAAAGGGAACTCTTGAATTGATTGCGTAGAATGAGACAGCAAATCTAAAAAATAATTGACAAAAATTGCTAAAAAAAAGGTTTAATTGATAATCCGAAACTGTAGGGCTGCTTTTTGATTACCTGTTTTAATTGGGCAGTGAAGTAAAATTTACTAACCATATGCTAAGTTATATGAAAACGGGAAAACCCAGAAATGTTAGCGGAAGTTGAAAAAACTAACTAAACCCAAACTATTTTTAGACTTCTTTTGGGTAAAAGGTCTTTTATTGTTTACTCAAGTCTGACCCAATTAGCTTTGGCTTTCAAAGAGCCTAGCTTTGTTCTAGAGATGTAATGTAGTAAAGGAGCAAATTAAAGTTCACTTCATCGCTTTCTATAAGTATTTCTAATAATCGCACTCTTACTGACTGAGTGATTGTTGGCCACTGTAATATCGCTTATTTCCTTTCCTCCACAATTTTTTTTTAAATAATGAAGCATTTGCATTCAGAATAATACAACAAAAACATTAACATAAACATAAACACGTAAGACAGTGCTAATTTCGGGTGTAACCGAATAGTTTATACTCTCATAAAAATCAAAGCCGAGGAATTACCTTTCGATTTTTGCAAAATTTTATATTAAACAGGAAAAAACACTAATTTCGGATATAGCGGAGCTATAATACCTTTAACAAATACTATATATTCCTAAAAAGAACCCTGATCGGTCAGTTTGTATGGCAGCTATGTGCTATAGTAGTTCGTTATTGGCTGTTATGACAAATCAGATCGATATCTCAAAACTGATGACTGATACTTTATAGATTATCAAATGTTTCCATCGTGGCATATACCCTGTTCATTACAACCATATTTGGTCTCTTATTACTTATACGTACACTCTCTTGGGTTCGTTACTAAATATTACTATCAAAGAAATGCATTTTAAATTTAACGTAATCAATTCTAATATGATATATGTATGTAATATAAACTCAACCAATGATCGTAAATTTAATATGTTGGGTTTAGGAGGTATAAAACAGAAATCATTGTATGAAGAATAAGGATCTTAAGGCACAAACCGATTTAACATATGCTTAGCGCTAAAGCACAATATGTTTATGAAAGCATTGAAAATCACATACATTTCCATATCCGGCAACATAAATGGTTTAAAGTTAGCTAGAAAGTCGGAAATCTTTATATTGCATGTATTTAAGCTAGGGGAAGTATTTACCCGATTTTATCCGTTGTTTGCATTAGCAAACTTGCTTGTAAGTTTCGTTAAGATATCGCCTATTTACCAATACATATACTCATATAAGTTATAAAGTCAAGTGATATGTCCAGATAACTTTCTTTAACCAGTACTTAGGTTCACATATTCGGTAAATGGGAACATGAAAAATTAAGCGCCGATTTCTATATTTTTAAATCGCATGTCTTAAACGTATATTGTTTTATTTCGATAATATATTGGCTTTCGATTTACATTGGCTCATAGCGTATTTTATGCAGAAATTTGTTTGTGTCCCGGTATATCATCGTTCCGCATTCTAACTGTAATTTCCTCTTTAATGCCTTTATTTTTGTCTCTCAATTGTTATTATGCTACGTTATAAGCTGATTGTGGAACTTGAAATGATTGCTTATTCATTCTTTCAAAAATGGACACCCACTGAGAAAAATTGCTGAAATGGTGAGTATTAAAGCCTGCACAGTTCAAAAATGATCAAGTGTTTCATTTGTGAGAATTGTGTACCTAATAAAGATAGGGAGGCACCGAACTAAATACTGTTATAAGCGCTATATAGTGCGTAAGATAAAGGATAATCCGAGACTTTCCGCACTGAAACTTCTGGCTTAGGAAATTGAAACTGATCTCGGAAAGTCTAGCAGAGCGCTAACTGTTCGTCGTGGCTGAGCAAACATGATTTCTTGGCCAAGTTTCGAGAAAACGGTATTTTTTCAACCCCAAAAACAGGCAATGAAGACTGAGTTTCGCTAAAGAACAGCCTTTTATCAGCAACACACATGTTTCTAAATCCCTAGAGTACTGGAATTTGATTTCGTTTTCAGACGGATCTAAATTCAATATGTTCGATTCCTTTGGTATGACTTTCTGAGCTTAATTTCCGCTTAACGGCACTTTGTTGGCATGGTAATAGGCCGATGATGCCCCAACCCCTTTGGACACCAAGCAACACGTGTACTAAATTTTATCAATATATCTTAATTATTGTTAACTATTTCCCGAAGTAACCAGACGCGCTACGATCCTCTGGAAAAATAGAAAACCAGTTATTATTTCTTATCACACAATTTCCATACCTTTTGCTCCTTAAAAATACATGTCTATGAAGCTGCCCTTCAATTTTAAAAATAGCTTCGAAACTTAACAGCCAATCATTAAGTAATTTCCGTAATATTTACTAAATACTAACCACATTTAGACAACTTTGAAATTGAACCGTGTTTAGTCGGGAAAACTCTGTTTGCTGCCCAGTTTCATAAGAATTCCACAGCTGGAAATATGTAGTGTCGTTTAGTGACTCCTGTAAGAAGCTGTTGGAGACGTGCTTGCCTCCTTTAGAGTTGGAGCATTCGTTTATTCATATTTCTTAGAAAACAGGTTAAAATTAGAACTTTCCTAAATTAAACGAAAGGAATCTTCCCTCTTTCGATAGATCGCTCACATTGTATACGTTTAAGCTAAAGTGGTTCTTCTTATTCATTAACAGTTTGAAAAATTTGAATGTTTTCATAACTGTAACAGGTATAAAGTGAGCGTTAAGATGTAAATGTGTTTGTCGGGAACATTTGTTGTGGAAAAACCTTATTTTTTTATGTTGGGTTGTCATGACATCTGCCAAACATATTTAACATATTATATCTTACGGTAATTGAACTACCAACATCATATTTTTTCATTTTGTTGAAAATGTAAAATTTGTGTACTAAAAATTGCATGAAAGACAAATAGAAAAGCGAAACCCCAAAAAACATTTCTCAAAATTTACTTCGAAGACACAAATAAAATCAGGTTTGCAACGAATTGCCACTGGTGATGAAAAATGGATTTATTTCAAGAATACTAAACGGAAAAAATCTAGAGTTAATCCGAAACAACCACCAACAACGAGTGAAAAATTCCGTTCCCACGACAGCCGGGTCTACGTAACCGGAACGGACCCGAATTTTTATAATGCCAAGGACTGTCAACTCGGCAGAATTCCGCCGCTACAACAACAACAACGAGTGCAAAATCATTCGGTGAGAAGTCAATGCTCAATATTTGGTGGGATCAAAATTATCTGGTGTATCATAAGCTTCTAAAATTTGGTGAAGCTGTTATGAAATGCTAATCCCTACAAACAATAAATGATTCGATTTGAACCATGCATTTTTCGAAAAACGTCCAGAATGAGACAGAAAGCACGGCAAAGTAATTATGTTAGACAAAAGCAACATTGGTTCAGGATATAATCCATACTTGGCTGGGAGCAAGTTCACCATCCGCCGTATTTGCCAGACTTGGCCCTTCCGATTACCATTTGCTTTCAGTTAGGGGACACGAATTGGTTGAGCAGCTCTTCGATTCCTACCCAGAAGCCGAAAACTGTGTGCCTGATTGGTTTGCTTCAAAAGACGAACATTTCGATCGGCATTAACAAATTGAATACTTGAATACATTTTGTACTTTCCCATTTTAAATTAGTATTTCATTTTCACATAAAAATGGATAATGGATAAATGGAAAATAATTTATAGAATCAAGATCAATCAAGAAAGTGTAACTAAAGTCGTAACTCTGTACTTTTACACAGCGTTAGACTTTTTTTTATGTTACAGTGGAAATATAAATGGTCTATATGATCGGATTTATCACTTTTCTCTGCCTAATAAATTTCGTCCTTATAATAAGTAAAAAATTTAAATTAGTTTCGGTTATATGTCATTTATTAATTTTTTTTTATCAACAGTTTACTTTTTCTTCAACAAAGTGGACACCAAAGGAGCGGAGTAAGTAACTGGAGCGCTGTAGACAGCAGGAGCAGCAACATGAGAGTAAGTAGCCACTGCTGGGGCGGAGTAGGCGGCGTGTGAGTAGGTGGTGACGGCAGGAGCAGCATAGGTGGAGTAAGCGGCATAAGGAGCGGCGGCATAGGGAGCGGCGGCGTAGGTGGTATAAGCGGGCACAGCTGCGGCGGAGTAAGTCAAAGGAGCCACCAAACCGGGATTGGCCTGAGCGACGGCGAAGAGGAGAGCCAAGCAGATGAGGAGCTGCAAATAATAATTTTTTGTTATGAAATGGTAATCAAATTTGAAAAGCTGTGTTGAACTTACTTTCATTTTGTTATAGTTTGTGGCTAATCGACTGCGGTGAGTTAACTGATATCAACTATCAAACAGCGGCAATTATTTATACAAAATTTACAAAATTATTTATACATAATTTCGCAGCGTCACTGTAAAGCAGAAAAGTCAAAAAGTTGTACAAATATTCCACTATGAAGAATTCCACAGAAAAAGACATTTGCGCAACTTGATCACTCGTTATTTGTCAACTTCTATCACTGGAGTTGATCAGCTTCAAACTTACATTACAACGCGATATATTGCTATTGTTGTTGTTGTTATTTCATTTATTTAAATCGGTTTTTGTGATTATATCGTAAGAGCTTAGCTATTTCCCTACATGTGTCGCGGATTTGAGATTTTGCAGACTTTTATCTGTGTGATTACTCGCGTCAATGTTCCGGATAGCGAACACGGATGTGTCGTGCCGTTTGTGATTTCCAACAATTGAAAATTCTTCTAACAAATATCTTTTTGACAATGTTTTGTCTCCCACACAAGAACCCAACCGGTCTGATAATCCCTCGAACGTATCAAATGCTTGTGCTTAGCGACATGCTCTCGCTTAGGGCTAACAATGCACATGCGCATATATTTACGGTCACATACCCATATATACATACATGCACGAAATTATAAAAGATTTTTTTTTTTTGAATGGCCAGAGCGCTGACGGCGCGAGTACGCCTATCAAATTAATGACAAGTATAAAGCGCGTAATGTGTGCGCAGGTAAATGACTTTTTACTATTCATCTTGTTGTTGTTGTGGCACAGACAAATTAATGCGATTTAATTGATAACTGGCTTCCAGCACAAATACTCAGTTGAACTGCACTAAGTAATTCAAGGGTAGAAGCTAATTGTGTTATTAATATCAATTGTTGTTGTAATCATGAAAAAAATAATAGTAATCAACTAATAAATTTGAAATTAGAAAAAAAAAGAAATTAGATATTTAAATTTGTCACGTGAGTTCATTAGTTTTAGGTTAATAACTCTTTTAAAATGGATAATTTTCCATATTCCGCTGATATTACACTCATGACCATTTTATATATGAGCATCAATAGGTCGCAGCAATGGTTATTTCTCTTTTTTATTTTTAATTATTTTAAAGAAGTAGAAACTCATGAAAGATATGGCAACCTTTTAAAAAAGAAACTGCTCTAATTAGTCTCACTAAAATTTCACACATTGCGGGAAGAGAAATGGACGGACTGGGTATACTCGAAAAAATATTTTGGAGCAGTGTTATGTTTAATAATACTCACTGACCTGACATATAAGTATGCATATTTGGCATAAAATGTGTTGGAAGAATGAAATTCATTATAAGAAGTATATAGGAGTTCGGGGTAGTATTGACTCGATTTTATCTTTTTTTTTTGCCAATAGTAAATATTATTCTAAATAAATAACTACTAATAAATAAATAATATAATCACCATAGATCCTGATATTAGTTATATGGCGGCTAGATCAACTTTTCGCCCAATTGAATCTATGTTAGGCACAAATATACAATGTTTTAAGTAAAATACATATGCTCTGTAATTTTCATTAAAATAACTCAAATATTGGCCGATATATCCAGTATAAGGTCACCTGGAAGTTCGAAAATCTTTATTTTAGCTATTTGGGGGCTCAGGGTAGTATTGACGACCTATTTTTGATACACATAAGTACTATGGTCAGGAATTTCACTTGTATATCTTAACCATTTACCGTTATTATCGGTCAAAGGTTAACTATAGGTACTGTGGCCGGAATATTCGGCTCGCGTAACAATTGAATCTGTGCCGATCCAATTTATGGAAGATTTGCCGCGCAAAAATTTAAGCCGAACGAGTATCACATGCGTCGCACGTCGTTAAATGGGTTCTCCATAATGTTACAGTCAATGGCGTACGTATTAATGTGAATGGCCTTTGCTTCTAACAACATGACGTGCAGGCAACGAAACAATAAATATATTGAAGGAAACTCTTTGTAAGAACATTATCCGTGCTGGCCTCCAATATCGTGTGATTTAACATCGCTTCACCATTATTTATTGAGTTATTCGAAGTCGCTTTGTATATTCTAATGTTCCCTGGGTTTCATTAAGGTGCCTCACAGACCATCCCATTCATATGGAAATCCTGATGTAAGTTACATGGGAACTAGCTCAAGTTTTTGACCAATTTTATTCATTTTAGGTACAAAGATACTAAATTAAACCGATAAATTCGCTTCAATCCATTTTTGACATACAGCCAGGCTATTATCAGGAAAGCATTTTCTCTGAATTTAAATTATTTATCTCGCACATATACCCATATTTTTTGTCAAAAGCAAATTTTGGATACTGGCGTTCGCTTTGAACAATTTTTGGTCATTGGCTGGCATACTTCAAAGACATACTGTACTTCATTTGTGCAAACTTTCATTTCGTTATATTAATTGTCTCTTCATTTGTATATCGTAAAGTGAAAGAATCTAAACGAATTTATTTTTTCTTATATGGGAAGTAGGCGCGGTTGTAGTCCGATGACGTCCATTTTCACAATGTGACGTGGGAGTGAGAAAAAAAAAATGTTGTACTGAGTTTAGTTGAAATTGGTCGAGCAAGTCCCAAGATATGTGATCTTACCCAATATAAGGTGGGGCACGCTCATTGTTCAATTTTTATCCCCGTTCTTATAAAGGAGTAATTTTCGACAGTATCGTTATAAGGAAGGTATAAGGAGATATAATCCGATTTCATAAATTTTCACCCAGCCGCCCACTTTTTCACAATTTTTTCGTAGATTCCTGTTATTGATGGTCATAGGCTTAATTAATTCTGTTAATAGCTCTTACTGCATACTCCAAATATTTATTTAAAAATCAATCTAATTACCTCGAATATTTATATGTGATATATGCCAAATTTTGATATACTACAAGAGACGTTCCAAAGTAAACAGAATTAAAAAAAGAAAACACCATATTCGGTTTTTTCGGTAAAATCAATTTATTTTATTCAAAATAGTCTCCTTCTGCTTCAATACAGTTTTTTGCACGGTCCAAAATATGTCGAACGAATGTTTTAGCTCGTTGGCCGGTATGGCCGCCAGTATGCTGGTGCAAGAATTTTCAATGACCTCTAAGTCTGCATAACGCTCTCCTTTCATGGAAAAAGTCGCACGATGGCATATCAGGTGAATACGCGGAGTGGTTAATGGTTAAAGTGTGATTTTTGGGCAAATAATCTTCCTTCGAATGTTGGAATCTGAGCAATTTTTGGTCGTCAGTCAATTTGTGCCTAGCAAACCGTGCACACACCTTTCGTAAGCCCAAATGTTCGATCAAGATGCGATAAATTGATGTTTTGGAGATGCTCGTTTCTATTTCCCGGAATTTCAAGTGATTTCGGCTGATTTTTAATGAATTCACGGAAAGTTTCGATGGAATTTCCGGTGATCACGGATTTTGATTGGCCCACATGTTGATCGTCATTTATGTTATCACGACCACTTTGAAAACATTGAAACCACTCGTGCACTCTGCTACGGGGTAGGCAATCATGGCCATAAACTTGTTTCATCAATTGAAACGTTTCGGTGAAATGTTTAGTAATTTTAAGATAAAATTTAAGGTTGGCTCTTTGTTGGAAGCTCATTTTCGCACCGATAACACAAACATACTGACCCTTAAAATGCAATAACTTCACTTCCAATCAGTGAAATGTAATGAAATTCTCCCACAAGTCGACATATAGATGGCGCCATTAGGGGTGCTAGATTCAAAAAGTCCTGTTTACTTTGGAAAGCACCTTGTATATAAAATATATAATTACAACTTATAAACCGAAGTATCCGAGAATTGGTGCAGGACAATCTCATACAATTTTAAATTTGAATGTTAATTTTTCGATGCTTTTTAAAAAATTCTTGCAGTATTTTATGATTCATTAAATAATTGAAATTGTAAACTGCGAGTTCGTCTCGCATTTTTGAATATTCTTTATGAGTTGCACTTAAAGAAATATATTATAAAATAGTAGTATGCTATTACATAATGCTCTTCCAAATAACAGCAATTTTGCCTTTGTGGAATATAGTCGTATTTTGAAATAAATATATAAATTCCTTGCTTATATAGTATTCGCCAATTTACCAAAAAGATGCACCTATATTTCTTGAAGATATCGGAAAAATCCGGAAAGGGTTTAAGAGTAACATTCACTTTATTTCACTTGATGATGTACATATATACAATATATGTATGTGTTTAGGTATTATTCCCTTCCCAAAAACAATTTGAAACCACTCGGGGGCAAGCAAGAACTGATCACAGTGAATAGTTGCTAATTTTATCATGTTCGAAATGAAAGAAAAACGAGTACGTAGACACACACACGGACACCACAATAAAAAAAATTTTTACTGGCAATTGAACTTCATGTACGGCAAACAAGATTTATTTCCTCACAATTCTCAGCAGCGATAATTTGCTATAAATTGCTCGTTCTGAGCTTTGAATGTCATTAGTTCAGTATCAGCTGTTAACAAAGCACAAACACACTACAACAAAATGAAAGTAAGCAATCCACACATCTTTATAATATATCTTTATATATTTATAACACTTTATCATTTTTTTCCAGTTCCTTATCTGCTTGGCCCTCCTCTTCGCCGTCGCCCAGGCTAACCCCGGTATCGTGGCACCTTTGACTTACTCGGCTGTGCCCTCAGTGGCCACCTATGCTGCATCCCCATATGCCTACAGCGCTTATGCCGCACCTGCCGTTGCCAGCTACTCACACGCCGCTTACTCTGCCCCTGCTGTGGCCACTTACTCGCATGTTGCTGCTCCAGTTGTGTACGGCGCTCCAGTTGCCCGTGTTGCCGCGGTCGCCCCCGTTGCTTACGCTGCTCCAGTCGTCTCGACTCTGTTGAAGAAATAGACGATTTTGTTTTTTGGATTTTTATAAATAATGCTCTTTGTTGATGGACCTGTGAATAAATGTTGATTAAGTTATAAATTAAAATAAACGTGCACTTTTATTACTTTCGTGAGCAAAAGTACTTATCATGCTATACTATATCTGAAGTCATATATCTAAGATCACTATGTTTTTTTAACTGTTTTACGTAAGGTTATAGCAGGTCAATTGAAAAGTCCCCTGCCCACCAGGGTAAAACATATTTTTTTTTTTTTTGCAAAATTGTTTTTTGCATTCAACATATTTCCCTTCAGAGGTGATATACTAATTATCGTATAACCACTTTTGGATACCATTTTTATAGGTCCATTTATCCTTTGCTTCTAAATAGACCTTAAGTTCGTCGATCACCTCTTCATTCAAAAATTTATTTCGAAAAGGAAATAGTCGCGGTGGCCATATCTGAAGAATACGATGCATGCGGAAGCAGCTCGAATCCCAGTTCACGGATTTTTGTCTTCGTTGTCTATAACTTGTTACATGGGACAATGTTATGGTGAAACATCATTTCTTTCTTTAAATGAAAGTGTGTTTCAACGATTTCGTCCGTCAAGCGGTTCAATAATGCTAGTAATAATCGCTGTTGATTGTCCTTCCTTTTTAAGGTAGCCCAAACACTGCTCCGGATCATCATTAACCTAAATAAACGTGAACGATGTGATGTTCACATTCAGTTAATACCTTGAGAGTACCTGTTATCTCAATCAACTTCACTTTATGGTCATACAAAATTGTTGCTGTGAACAACCTTTTTTGGACATCTTAGCTTAGCATACCAGCCCTTGATGGTTGATTTTCCTGGTGCAGAGTACGAATAATTTTCGTCAAACCAAACCTTGGCCAAACTTTGAAAATGTTATAATTCCCAGTAGGGTTATCGTTTTTTTTATGAGGGAAAAGTATCGAAAGCCTTAGTGTGAAACCCAACCTATTCCTAAATCATATATCTGTCATGGAGCAACTGGATGAAGAACTAATTTATGGTATAGAAAAAGGCATTTAAATCTATTAGTTGTAGTATTAGTGTAATAGTCTAAGTTTAGAATCCAATTTTAAAGGTAGAATGTTTGTAGTCCTATATAAAAGGCATTCAGGCCACACCTTATAGAATGCCTGAGCCACGTCTAGAAATATAGCTTAACAGTATTCTCTGAGCTCAAACGCTTTTCTTATTTCGTTAGTCATTCTACTTACTTGCTCTATCGTGCTATGTTTTTCACAAAACCCGAATTGGCGCCTTGGTATTCTATTATTTTCGTGGAGAAAAGGAGACATCTTTCATAATAATAAGAGCACCTTTACAGCAATATTTAGAACACAATTAGCATTTTTGGGGTAATATTCTGATATCCTGGTGACTTTTTTGGGTTGAGTTCTTTTATGTTTCTTGTAATTTCAGAAAAGAATAATTTCAGGTAAAGTCTTAAAATACTCGAGTGACTCGAAAGCTGTGTTGGGTAAACTGGACAGTTTAAAGTTGTTCTTTGTGCATTTAGGTTGAAGTACCTTTTCTAGATGATTTGCAAAACAATTAGCCTTTTACTCGTCGCTTCGGGCCCAATTTTCACTCAAATCTCGTATAGGACATGGACCCAACTTCTTTACATACATTCCAGTGTTGAATTCTTCGTCGCGTGTAAGCAATTTTTTTAATTTACATAGCAGATTTCATGTGAATGTGAAAGGAGAGCGATTTATATGCCATTCTGTAAAACGTGCTTTCCACCGAAAAACTTTTGGCGAGTGTAGATATAAACTTTTCCCTTACATACGGGGGTACTGAAAAAAACAAAACCGTCGCACTAATGTCATGATGGAATTGGAACATACATATATCTTTTAAAGCATTCATGCCCACTCAGTATTTGGGTTGAGTGAAAATTCAGTTTCCCGCGTCGTCTGTCTACCCCCGAAGGCATAGTCTATCGGCCTTTGGATAAGGTTTGCCTAAGTTCCTATTACATTGTAAAACTCTTGTTTCTCTCATTTCTTCACCTTTAGGTGGGTCTGACAGCTGGATAAGTCGCACAAATTCTACTCTTTGTAGGTCTAGCCCTGTAAACTTAATATTTAAGGCTTTATAAGCTGCTTCAGTTTTTTAGGTCGTAATTAACACACTGTCATAGATAATTAATACTTTTACTATACATACATGTGCATACATAAGTATTATATATTAACTATGAAATTATCAGAAAACCAAATGTCCATTCTTAAGTACTAACAGATCTAAATATGGTTATATCCGTTAGTATTTTCCAACGCAGATAATAAAAAATAAATTTTTCTATATATATATATCACTTAATCAACATTTATTCACAGGTCCATCAACAGAAAGCATTGTTTATAGAAATCCAAAAAAACAAAATCATCTATTTCTTCAACAGAGTTGAGACGACTGGAGCAGAGTAGGCAACGGGGGCGACCGCGGCAACACGGGCAACTGGGGCGCCGTACACAGCTGGAGCAGCAACATGCGAGTAAGTGGCCACAGCAGGGGCAGAGTAAGCGGCGTGTGAGTAGCTGGCAACGGCAGGTGCGGCATAAGCGCTGTAGGCATATGGGGATGCAGCATAGGTGGCCACTGAGGGCACAGCCGAGTAAGTCAAAGGTGCCACGATACCGGGGTTAGCCTGGGCGACGGCGAAGAGGAGGGCCAAGCAGATAAGGAACTGGAAAAAAATGATAAAGTGTTATAAATATATGTAGATTTGTGTATTAGAAGGATGTGTGGATTGCTTACTTTCATTTTGTTGTAGTGTGTTTGTGCTTTGTTAACAGCTGATACTGAACTAATGACATTAAAAGCTCAGAACGAGCAATTAATAGCAAATTATCGCTGCTGGGTGTTGTAAGGAAATAAATCTTGTTTGCGGTACAAGAAGTTCAATTGTCACTTATGGCTTAGCCCAAACATTAAATTTATGTGTAGTGTCTGTATGTATCTGTAGGTATGTGTAAGTATGTGTAATAAGTTTATGTGTGCATTATATTTTTTATAAGCAAACTTAATAAACTCATTAATGATAGTTTGTTGTGCCTACTTTTTAATTGTTTACTCATGATTTAAAATTATGAATGGTAATTCAAGCATTGCCACCTCTTTTGAGTTGTAAACGCAAACTATTTTTATGTTGAAATAGCAATGTATAATGCTGTTTTAATAGCTATTTTATGCCTGTTTAAATATTTCAGCATATTTTTGTAAATATTATGGCCTTTTTCTGTCTTTATGGGAACGTAACTTATTTCGTTCCGAAAATTCAAGCACAGATATCGTTTGATCATTGATTGGAATAAGAATATATATTGTTATGGTATAAGGTAGTAATTTAATTTTATTTGTTGTCAAAAAAGTCTTGTCCAATTTCTAATCAAACTTCAGTGTACCATTTTGGTGGACCACTTTTTTGTCATTTTTCGCCAGAGGCATTATTCCCTGATTGTAAAACTTTCATCAATGTAAATCGAAATTTCTAAATTTCCAGAACGGAGCGAATGAATTATTGTTGTGCTACACGAACTGAATTGAACGAACAGCATCATGTCCGTACACTTCACAAATTTCATTGGTGACTTCCGCGACATTCTTCCCTATTTATACAAAAATTTCAAAATATAGCGAATTTCATTCATATTTTCACTAATTTCTAAACAGATTTGACTTTTTCTCAACTTTCCCGAATTTAGTTGTTCTTAAATTTTGAATGAAGTTTAAAATCGCACCTTTCCAACAGTATATGCTATAACAGAATGTGATTGTTAGTACTGGAGATATACGAATGCTATTAACAAAATACGAAAAGACTTTTCGACTACCCCATGTTTCGGGATTAGAGAAGAAAAACATATATTTTTTTCATCGAAAATCGCTTTATTGTTTTTCAAAATATTCTTCATTAAGAGCAATACCTTTTTCGAAAACTATTGACTTATTATAATTTGCGGATGTCTCATCAAATCGATGTGTTGAGTACTCAAAAAGCAGTTGTTTGGATCAATGTGTGAGAGCTCGCATTTTCGAGGCATAGAGTGATACCTTTTCGATGCTTGTTTCACCTTGATTTCTTCGAAGATAATTGGCAAACAAATAGTTGTGTAGCACTCAGAATTTATTGTTCTTTGTTACTCTAGTGGCATGATTGCGAAATATCTAGTTGTTGCAAAACAACAGGGAATAATGTGCTTAGAAGTGCTTCGAATCTACAATTCATCACTTGTGACGATGTCATTGACGTGTTTCGAAGCACCGCTATCGTATTTTGATAACCTTTCTCGCGACCAATCGACACGACCTTTCATTTTTTAACGATCGACAAGGTGTATGGGTTCCAAATTAAAATTATTTCTAATGTCAAAAGCTCTTGTAATATTAAATGTAAGCTGGTCCTCTATCTCAACAATTTCTGTTTTTGGACGACCTTTACAAAAAAAACGTTTTGGAGTGAACTATGACATCGATTATATGACGATAGAGCTTCATACCCAACAATTGTATTAGGTTCATCGATGCACTTTTGATCATTTAATGATCGAGAAGAATATTTTAAGTTACTGTAAGCAATACAAACAACGCTGGTATACTTCTGAGTATGTATAACATAGTGTCAAACTTTGCGATAAAGTTGAAAGTTGGTAAATTACAACTCTACGATTACCAAATATTGAAATATAAAATGGAAAATACGAAATAATATATTTTGCAAACCGATTTTTATTAATATTTATTCCCACTGGGAAAACCGAAAATATTTAACTCTAATTAACTCTAACGTGTAATATGATAAAAAATTAAATCAAAGAGAAAAATAATTAATTGTCTTTATTACTTAAATATATTTGGAGAAATATTCTATTATTTATCAATTTTTGAGAACTATCGCAAACACGACACATACAAACACAAACTTGAAATCATTTTGTAATATCATCATGCCAAGAGGCATAATAATGACACTGTGAAGAATTGAATAACATAACTTTTCATTGAACTTTCGTATAAATACATATACATATGTATGTATGTATTGAGGAATTTTGCAACATTTGAAACCGGTAAGTTTATGTCAAATTCTAACAAGCCACACATCCACACAGAAAGGTATAATTGCCTCAAGCAAGCACGCAGCCTACATACATATGTATCCAAAAAATTGTTAAATCAGAGCTTATGGCTTGGAAAGATTGTAGGCGTGTGCTCTTATTGACCATTCTTTCCGATTTTAATGCCATACCACCAAAAATTGGGTTCTTGCGTGGCAAAATTTTGCTATAAAAATGCTCGCAGAATCGTAATTGATATCAGTTAACTCACAGCATTAACCATAAACTCACACAAAATGAAAGTAAGTGTACGCTACAAGAATTCAGCCAATTTACTTCAATCGAATTGAAGTTGAAGGGTAAACAATTTACAATTCCTTTTCTTCTTTCATTATAGTTCCTCATCTGCTTGGCTCTCCTCTTCGCCGTCGCTCAGGCCAATCCCGGTTTGGTGGCTCCTTTGACATACTCCGCCGCTGCTGTGCCCGCCTATACCACCTATGCCGCCGCTCCCTATGCGGCTGCTCCTTATGCCGCTTACTCCACCTATGCTGCTCCTGCCGTCACCACCTACTCACACGCCGCTTACTCCGCCCCAGCAGTGGCCACTTACTCTCATGTTGCTGCTCCTGCTGTCTACAGCGCTCCAGTTGCTCCAGTTGCTCCAGTCACTTACTCCGCTCCTTTGGTGTCCACTTTGTTGAAGAAGAAGTAAACAGTTGATGAATGTGCATTGTAAAGGCTATTGTTGCAATAAATTATAAAGTGAAAAGAAAATCATATATTTTTGTTGTTCTTCGTTACACTTTTTCCATGGTTGTAAAAAAAAGCTTATTCTTTTAAGGGGGGAGCCTGGTTTATAAGCTTCAAAAAATGTTTTTTTTTTTTTTTTTTTTTTTTTTTTTTTTTTTTTTTTTTTTTTTTTTTTTTTTTTTTTTTTTTTTTTTTTTTTTTTTTTAAGCTAGAAGGAAAATAGTGACCGAGCGTCTAGC